TACTACACACACACACACACACACACACACACACACACACACACACACACACACCTCAACTTCTGCGAGGGATTGTACTACATTTTTTGTTATACTGCCGTTCTCAATCGTGAGTACATTGCTCACCGCAAAAAAAAATCATAAGTGTATTTCCATTGTTGTCTTTACGTATCTCCTTGGCCTTTGCACGCTTACATCTCATTGTTTGATCTGCAGTGACCCCGAACTTGTTTCTAACTACAGTCTTCCTCTCTATAGGTATATCACTTGAAGCATCACTGGTCGCCTCACTTTCTGATGGTTCGTAGAAATCGTGTTGGGTCGTGGTTGTAAACCTATTGAATACATCTCGCATGCCATGGCACTTTCCACGTTCACCGGTAAGGTGTGTGGACCTCTGTGGTACTCTTCGCATAGTTGTTGGCAACAAAATGCCTTAATACGCGCGCATATACTAACTATGAGATGTGGTGCAGGCTACAGAATGATGTAGGTAAGTATCCCTATTTCTATATGTCACTTTTCGCAATTCTAAAACTTGCATCGGTTTTCTTGATGGCGCGGCACATCGATTTCTGCCCTCAAAAGTGCCAAATTCGAATTTAAAAAATCGTCCATAATTTCCAAAATCTGAGCAAGCCAAAAATGTTTTGAGACACAAATTTCAAAATGTGTCCGGGTGATATTTTAGCACCGGTCACTGTGAGCAATTTCCGATATCTAACACGTTGATCGGACCAGTGATTGATGGTGCTGTACTCGCTCGAAGTAGGCATGATATTAAACCCACGCACTACGTGAGCGCACCTTTATAAAAAATAAAAATAAAACCGGAAACCCCCCCCCCCCCCCCCAAAATAAAAGTGGTGTTGAAATCTATTTATATTTTATATTAGGCTTTTTTGTTTATTTTAAAAATATACTGTTTTAGCAAACATATTTTAGCCTCCAAAACAGAACATTTTGTAATTTTTATTATGTAGAACTAAGAGTAAAATATATACTTGCATTTAAAAAAAAGCTTTTTTGTTTTTGCTTTTTGTTAAAAAGTAAATTGTACATATCCCTCTCATGTTTAAAATTTCTAGAAGGGACAAATCACAGGTACAAGGACATTTCACAAATTCACACTTCACACTTCACACTTCAAAGTTCACAGTTCACAGTTCACACTTACACCAAGAGACCTGAACATTGAACTGTTCACACTTCAGTGACTTCACACTCTAGTAGATCACTATCACTAAAATTCTAACAAAAATGAATTCTAAAATTTAAATAGCCATCAATCACAAAGAAAGAGGAAGGCGATGGCATTTTGGATGATGAAGAAACAAAAGTAAATATTTAGAATGAAAAGCATGAAATAAGAAGAGTGAAGACTGAAAGAAACCTAAAAACTTTTAAAAATGTCAAAATCAAAGTACGTTGATATTTTTAAAAACAAAATTGTGTTTAAAATTGTAAATAGTCTTCTATACTCTAGGGAGACCAGTAGAGAGAGTAGACTATGGTATGTACTTAATAGTTATTTTTAGTAGAGGGGTAGTAGAGTATAGTTACGGAGCCTATTTTTTTTTCCTACATAGTATAGTATTAGTTATAGTCATGCCAGCCCCCCTCTTTTTCAGAGGGTCCTAAACAGTAAACAACTTTTCAAATTTTCTCGAGGCTCGATGTGTTGAGTTTAGGAGGCTAAGCTCGATGTAGTTATTTATTCTCCTAAAAACTATGATCCGAAACAGATGTGGCTATATTTACATATCTTAAGTGCAAGGAACTATTTGTATATGTATTGTCGAGTCAAGAGATAGGAACATCATGCCATCCACCACGGACGAATCGGCGTATACTCTGACGGCGGAAGAAGCAGCAGCGGTAGTACAATTAAGAGACGCTTGCCAAAAGGAAGGTCTCGAAGTACATTCAAACTTCGAATTAGGGCTGTATGTGATTGTTACAAAGCTTAACGTACCTCAGGCAGTTGAAAGGATTAAAAACACACGCGCCACTATGGATAAGTACAATACAAATCACATATCACCGGAGGATTCACTTGACTACATGCTAAACCTCTGGGACGAGGTACGTTAAAAATGCAAAGAACACATTTCCTCGAACGCAACAGCGGGGGCGGGTATTATCATTTTCTCTAGCATGTCAATTTCCGAGCCTTTAGTTGTAAGCATTCTTGTCTATTCGATTACATACACCCATACACAAAAACACACGCGCACACAAACACATTTACGTATATACACACATAAATATATGGTCACACACATACACAAACACACACACACACACATCTATATGTATATATATACATATACATATAAATACACACACAAACACACGCACGCACACACCCACACACATA